CTAGCGGGTTAATTTATACCGAATTCATCTGGGAGGATAAAAGCACGTGCATAGACAGAGGCTGTATATGCATTCAAAAACGACCTAACGATTTTAAATGCTTGTCAAAGGCGGTGCGCACTCCACAATAGGATCGATCGGCGCCGAAAGAATTTTGCCCCTCATCGCTCTTGTAGCTCTTTAGCTTGTTCAGGCAAAAAGGGAAAGTGTTACTATAACAATTTGGAAAAGTCTTTAGTACTACTTAGTTTTAACAAGTAAATGGACCACACTTTAATGGATGCTTAAAAACATTTGTTTCTAAAGTAAATGTTAAAAGATCAGAGAGGGGTGTTCATGAGGTCCCAAAGAAGCGGAGATTAGAACTGTGGCCTATGTTTGCTGATGTTTTTCCTTCGAGTTCCCTGTATCTTCATCACTCCTACTTCGATATCATCTATTCAAACTTGTTTTTGTTTACCCAACGCTAAGTGTGAGGATCATTTTCTTAATTCTGCTACACTACAGCTACACGAAAAGTCAGTTCAGTGTCATCTGAAAGTCATAAATAAGCCAGTCGACATCACTTCGAATTGTGCTTACAGAACAGGCTCATGACTAAACTATTATTCAGCTGTATAAGTACTGGTAATACTGTGGCGACGATCTAGGACATTATTGACCATCCACCCGTTTGACCGCTGCGCGACTGCACGCTGAATTCCCGCCCATTTCATCTACACCCTTTCGCAGAGACCCATAATTGAGCCGTCGCGTGTCCCGCCCCGCCCTCTCGCATCATCGTATTGGACAAGGGGGAAAGGTGTTGTTGGCCCTTATCTTTCTCGCTGAGTCTACCAAATCCGAACACAAGTTCCGATTTTCGATTGTTTGTACTCCTGATGGAATGTGTTGCATTGTTGCAGTGTAGTGTTGCTTCCAAGAACGAGTAGCATACTGATTAACGACGTTCTGTGCCACAGACGTCGACTTGCACGTATTTTGTGTACAGCGGAATTGACGACGATTTTCACGTTGTTTTTCATCGAAAAGCGAGAGCGAGTGAGGGGAGTGCAAGTGCAGTGTGGCAGTAAAGGCGCACAGCCACATTGATTGCGATTGCAGCACATCGGGTGCGGTGGTTGTCAGTCAGTAGAGAGATGGTTGTTGTTACTTTGTAATATTTTTCGTATGAAAGTTCAAATTCCTCTTCACTCTAGCTCTTCACTTACCCTGTTCTGTTGACTTTATCCTTTCCTTTATTCCTCACATCCAGTGTACGCTTTGATCCAGTAGAGAGCATGATGTAACAGATGTAGTAAATAGTTGTTTTGCCGGTAAAAATGTAGTTGGGAAGGGGGCATTGCTCTTTCCCAGCATTGAGCGCTAGAGCGCAAAGAAGGAGAGTTATTTGCTTATGTCTATAGACAATTCTTGGTGAAGGAACATAGTTCTAACCTTACAATTAGCCTTGGGAGGGGAGGAGCAACGGGATGGGCGGGGCGATTAGCTCGTGCGAAAAGCTGGGATTGGGTAAGAATTGAACATCCAATAGGCTCAGCCAGCCGATGCTCCTTTCCTCCTAAGACTGAGATGGAAACCCTATTTTCTCGCTAAAAACGTTCCGAAGAACCATCATGGGCTTGCAAAACTGGTCACTCTCCTTCTCTGCGCTCTAGCGCATGTCGGAAATGAACGGTGGCCCCTCCCCCAATATATTATATACACCGTTTTGTCCATTTTCCGTCGTCGTAGGACGTTGTGAAATCGAGTCATTGTGAACGTGTTTCGTGTTCTGATCTACACGAATCGATAACCTCCTTTATAGATGCTGATACTGAATGCGCCGTTCATCGTCCACAATCTGATACAACAGTGGTATGGGAAACAAGGTTCCCTTTTTTTCGATATTTCAACAACAACCTTTCCCCGCACGCCACCCGTAGTAGTTGTGATGTATTTTTAATTTTGTCCGATTTTTTGTCGATTAGCGCAAGTGGCGTGGGCAGAGTGTTGCGGTGCGGGCTATGCCTTTAGATTTACACTATATAGCTTAGTGAAAGTGGCAAGATTTGTGTTGTAGATGTACTTTTATCGTGTTGGTATTTGTTGCGATTTGCACGGTCGGTCAAGGAATGGCCCACGGATTGTGACAGCTGTGCAGTAACAGGGCGTTCTTCTGCCTTTTTCCCTGAACTCCTGTTTCTCAAGTCAATACTTGCGGCTAGTACAGTCTGATCGCTTTCATCCGTTGTCTAGATCCACATTACTGCTTTACTTTACCCAGATCTCTCTTGGAGATCAATGTTTGTGCCGTCATAATGGGAAAAAACCTTGCGGAAGTCATCGCGCTCCTTCGTCGGCCTCTATTAAGATCTCATTTGTTATTCTGTACTTTTGCGTCACCTACTGACAGGTTTTCCTGGAAGATAAGCCTCTCTGTTCCTCGAAATGTCACGTTTCCGTTGATCGCTGCGATCCTTTTTTCCCCCATGGAGATCCCTTTGTCAGGCCAATTTGAATGGAATGTTTCATGATCGCAAAGTTCCAATCATTTAATGTGCAGTTCTCCTGAACATTTGTTCGGAATACCAGCCTACTCGTAAAGAAAATAGTAACAACAATGTTAGTACTTTACTTTTTTGCGAAGATATTACCAGGGAATTATACGGTAGAGACTTTGCTTTCCATTGTTGTACAAAAGTTGCCTCTTTCTTTTCGATTTTTTTCGGAATTCGAACTTCGAACAAAATCATTCAACTTACTCTGTAACAAAAACGAAGATTGTGTGCGGTCACTCGGTTTGAGTTTTGTGTAGGGAAGGAAAGGAAAAAATGAGTCTATACTGTAAAACAAAATGTGTTGTCTGTGAAATTCTGCGTCCGTTGCATTTCATTTCACGGCCTCGTCACTGTAGGAACTTAGTGCCTGTGCTAAGTTTACGTTCCTGTCACAATATGTAGGCACCCAGGCTGTCATAAGGTTTCGAGAAAGTTCCGCGATGGAGTTTCAGTTTTTATATGATTAACCGTATGAATAATCGCGGCCAAATAGCGCATTAGTGAAGTTGGCAGGTTTTGGTGTGAATTGGGAGAGAGCGGCGATCATTTGCTCCCCTACCCCTCGAACTATCGATTTTCCATCCCATAATTAATATTCCGTTTCAGTGTATTGAATTTAATTTTAATCAAACAACCTTTTGATCTTGAAATGTATCAGACCACCACGGCTTAAAAGGGTCGTCCTCTAGAACAAATTTTGAGGCAATTCTCTGTCGCATAACTTCATCGTGCGCGCGACATGAGGCAATTTCGCGTTGCGGCAACAGCGGTGTAGCACGGGGGACGTGCGATTCGTGCGATTCCGGGTGCGCGCGGCAAATTGCGCGGCGAAATTCGCGGTGATTCAAACAACTCCTGCGCCTATTATTGGAGCACAAACTTGAAGCAGAGTAGATCAGTAGGATCAGCTGACCATACCCAACTATTCTACTTCAAGTTTGTGCCCCAATAATAGGCGCCAGAGTCGTTCGAATCGCACCGAAATTCGCCGCGCACTCAGAATCGCACGAATCGCACCACACCCGTGTAGCACGTTTCTCTGTGTAGATACTTGACTTGTTATCGTGAAGATTGCATCGGCATTTTCGAATCTTCGTAATGTGCTTAGCTGTTTAAGCTGTGTTACAGTGTTTTTTCAAACTAACTAGTTTGTCTATCAAAAATCGCGACTCCGCTACTTCTCTGGCGTCATCGGCAATAACCCCGAAAAATTGTACAGTTCCTGCTAACTCTTGCAGTTATGAAGTAGATTACTTGTGATTGCTCCTTACAACTTTTCTTTACTGCTTATAACACGGGTCTTTGCTTTTATTACATCGTCGTACAACGTCTAATCGGTCTGTATATTTAGTCGGAATGTCAATTTGCATTTTTTATGCTAAAGTTGTGAATCGCTCGTGAGAGCTGACAGTTAGGCCTAATGATGTCTTGCTGTAACCTCTGCTTCGCCTACGCTGCAGTTTAACGGTAGCAATTATTGATACCCTTGGTAGCAGTCTGCAATTGCGTACCGACAGCAGATGCAAAGGGCATTCAACGGCTGCATCCACCTGTCACATATACGACGCATCAAAAAAAGGCTTTGGACTGAGGCACGGTGTTGGTGGGTGGAGAAAGCTGCATTTTCGGACTGCTACCGTGGGTAGATGTAGGTAACACCTAGTTTAGCTGGTTGTTCATTTAGCGGTAGATATAGATATAGATAGATACGTCATCTTAGCTAAAGATGGATTCAGTGGGCGTGGTGCAGTAGGATCGAAAATGCCGCCTCGCGGCGAGAGACGTCGCGCGCCAAGGAATGTAGCATAATGCAGCAGCAAGTAAGAAATACAGGAACAAAAGAACTTACATTAGTATCATACCAAAGATAATAGTCTCGTATTGATTGAGCTGTATGAAGCTAGAACTGTAATAACGAGGCGAATGGTCCGCGACTGCCGCGCGCGTCGAATCAATTACACAAAACCGATCCTAATGCCCTTCTCCCAATTCGAATAGTCATCTTGGTTACGGCTTTCGTTTTCTAACAATTAATCTAGCGTACTCTTTTCACTTTTTTTCTTCTTAACTTTTGTCAGAATTCGGCAAATTCTCCGGAATACAGTTCTGCAATTTGGGTACGCTCCAGTGAACAACTGCTTCATTTATTCTAAGCCAGGGTTGGAGAAGATGGATCGTGGGCCATTCCACTATGAGAATGTTTTTGTATTTATTGTGATTATTGTCTGCAAGGTGTTTCGCACTGTGCTTCTCGGCTCGGCTACACTCATTCTACTAAATTTCTGCTCATTTCACTTGTATCACTAATACTGCTCCTATTTACATAGTTCAGAATTGCCCACAGATTTTTTTTTTGATTTCATAGAAAATGCCATAATCGTTGTCTTTGTTTTGTGTTAGCTGTAATGTCTTAGAACAATAGGTCCCGTCTGTACCGTAACACTATAGAATTTTTCAGAGCCGGATTCTTCTGGATCTTCTGGTTATACTAATTATCCTGGTTATCGCGTACGTACCGTCACAGTCAGAATGTCTCTAGGAAAGCTTTCCATTGATAAGGTAAGACATACTCTCTGTCTTTTTCAGCCAATTGGAGGCGTCTGAAGGACGCGTGGCTTGGGGTATGGGTACATTCACCCAGAACTGGATGGACACGGCAAACCGCGCGACGAAATTCGTGGTGGTTAGAATGGCTTTGGCGCCTATCATTGGGGCACGGGTTTCATGTAGTTTGGATAATTAGGGCCAGCTGATGCTACTTATCTATCCCACTGCAAATTTGTGCCCCAATGATAGGCGCAAGAGTCGTTTTAACCATCACAAATTTCGCCGCGCGGTTTGCCGCGTCAATACAGTTCTGGGTGAATGTTCCGTCCCCCGTGGCTTGTCTGCCATTGGTGGCTTTTCTTAGAGGACCAATCGCAGACAAGGCATGCACCTATCACGCCCTCTATATGTCACAACGAGGTGTTTGTGTTGGACCAAGTTGTGATACCTACTGATCACCGTGCTGCTTTTGATTTACACAATATAATTACCAGTTAGGATTTTTCAGGTTGATGTGAAGGGCAAGCGTGTGCTGATTCGAGTTGATTTCAACGTCCCACAGAAGGATGGCAAAATCACCAACAATCAGCGTATTGTTGCAGCGTTGCCGTCCATCAAGGTACTGTTACTGAGATTTTCTGATTTTTGTGGTTCAGATTGATTGCTACGTCGTAATGATTCTGAAAGAAGCACTCAGTTTTCTATTTCCACAGTGGAGGGGTGAACATTGGCAGAAATGGTAGTTTCATTAAAAAATATCCAATTGCTGTATGAAATAGGAAGGTTTTTAGTCGGCGTTTCAATCTACGTTTCATAGCTGCTCAAGGAAACGTCCCTTGGGCACTGATCTTTGAGACCTTCGGTTCGGTCAGGGTTCAGTAGCACATTTCTAGGGCTATTATCCAGAAATTGGGGTGTCCCCATGCTATATTGCACCTTGAATATGTGCCCCTTTGCACATTGTTAATAAAAAGATCGTTTCTACCATTGTAATTGACTTCAGTATTGCCTGGACAATGGGGCAAAGGCGGTCGTATTGATGTCCCACCTTGGACGACCTGATGGCAAGAAGAATCCAAAGTTCACTTTGGCTCCGGTCGCTGATGAACTGAAGAAGGTTCTCGGGAAGTGAGCTGGTGTTAATCTTTTTGTATCAGGAAAAAAATCTGCATTTTGATTTCATTCATTTCTAGAGACGTGAAATTCCTGAATGACTGTGTGGGTCCTGAAGTGGAAGCTGCTTGTGCCGATCCAGCCCCAGGATCTGTCATCTTGCTCGAGAACTTGCGCTTCTACATCGAAGAGGAAGGCAAATGCACAAACGAAAAGGGCGAAAAGGTTCATACCGTCAAATGATTTTTTGTGCCTGTGTGTCTAAAAATTAATTTTTCATTTTATTTCTTCTTCAGATTAAAGCCAAGGATGAAGACGTCGAGAAGTTCCGTGCATCCTTGACAAAACTTGGCGACATTTATGTGAACGATGCATTTGGTACCGCTCATAGGGCGCACAGGTATGCTTCTACCGCTCTTCTACTTTTCTTCACTCTTGAAAATGATGGTTACTGGTTTTCAGCTCAATGGTGGGAGTGAAACTCGACACACGTGCATGTGGTTTCCTCATGAAAAATGAGCTGGTTTACTTTGGAAAGGTGAACATATCACTGTTATTTTGTTGTACTTTACCTTGTTTACATAGTTTTACAATTTAGGCACTTTCTGACCCATCTAGACCATTCCTTGCAATCCTGGGTGGTGCGAAAGTGGCCGACAAGATCCAGCTCATCAAGAACATGTTGGACAAGGTGAGTTTTTGACGACTCCATTAAGGGCCCCTAGAAATGATGGCTTTTCTCAGGTGAACGAGATGATAATTGGCGGTGGCATGGCGTTCACATTCCTCAAAGTTGACAAGAATGTTGAGATTGGAAATTCTTTGTTCGATGAAGAGGTAGTTGAGGGTTTTTTGAACTGAGGACCTTTTGGATTTCTGGTATTTGGGCCGTAAATGATTTTCGGTTCCGTTCAGGGTGCAAAGATTGTGAAGGACTTATTGGCCAAGGCCAAGGAAAAGAATGTCCAAATCCATCTACCCGTTGATTTTGTTATTGGTGACAAGTTTGCGGAAGACGCTACTGCCAAGACTGTCACTATGGAGGAAGGAATTCCAGCTGGTGAGTTATTTTATCAACAAAATGTTCTACAATGGTTAACAAGTTACTATCTTCTATGTTCTTTCTTTGCTCGATAATGATTATTTGGTCCTATGAGTAAGATGGTCCCTATCTTTTGAAAGTTGGTCCTCTCATTTTCGCCACTTTTTCAGGTCATATGGGTCTGGACGTTGGACCGAAATCTGAGGAACTATTCGCAGCAGCTGTGGCCAGAGCTAAGACAATTGTCTGGAATGGTCCTCCTGGTGTGTTTGAGTTCGACAAGTTCTCCCATGGTACTAAGGCTCTCATGGATGCTGTCGTGAAAGCAACTTCAAATGGTGCTATTACTATTATTGGTGAGTTGATGACATGTTTCCTAATTGGAACTGGTTACCAGTAACTGGTTCATAGAGCTTCATAATTCCTGTCTGAAAAAATAACTCGAAACTTAGGTGGTGGAGATACTGCAACTTGCTGCAAGAAGTTCAAAACCGAGGACAAAGTGAGCCATGTATCCACCGGAGGCGGCGCCAGTCTTGAACTCTTGGAAGGTGCGTTTCACATTGTTGTTTTATTCATATTAAAGGTACGTCTCCATTTATTTCTTGAAATTTCAGGAAAAGCTCTGCCTGGAGTTGAAGCACTCTCTCCAGCTCCATAAATTCATTGTTGTGGTGGCAAGATTAGCGCTAGATACCGGATGCCCAAACCTGTTGTGCGAAAGTATCGCTAGATCACCTGTAGTTTCAGATGTGTGTACAATGTACATTTTAATGTCTTAGTGCATGTAATAAGCAGTAAAGTAAGCTCGTTACGTACGTGTTTCCCCAGTGGCACAAATACTTGTCAGTTCAGAGTTCTCGTTTACTTTAATAAATACTGCCTTTCAAAATGGTATTTTAAGGTGTTATTCAAATCTAAGCGGTATGACATTATCACTTTGTGTCAGTTAAAACATTGATTAAGATCTTTTTGAGGGAAACTTCGGGTGGGAACCATCCGAGGGACACATTGGCTGAGATCCCTTCTGCGGGGCGTCCACTTGCCTCTCACGCCGATCGAATTCCAGCCAGACTGTCCCATGGTTTTGTCCTACCAAAACTAATCAAATGGTCCTGTAATTGTATGGAACGATGCATTCACTGGTGCTAATATTACTTGTTGTGTTTAATTTAATGCATTGGTTTGAAGGAGTATTTGAGGACCATGCGCTTTGAATACGATCAAAATTAGGGACTATTTCTCAGGGGTTGATAAAAATCATCCTTGTCAAAAATACTACCATAGGATATTCATCAAGATGAACACATTGAAACGCTGAAAACCATTTTTTTTGTCATGGCTTTCCAGTTTTGAACACCAATTATAACAAGGGATTCCCTCAGGTGCCAACAAACTGAAATATTCTCGATGCTGCTCTCAATCAATTCTCAATTTTGCCAACCCTAAAGCTCGTAAAGAGGATAAGCGGACTCAGGCGTTCGTGTTGAGACCCGCTTTCTAGTAGGGAAAAAGTCCATATTCGTGTTACAAGTTTATCGGGAGCACTTGATGAAAAATGCTATTTGATGATTATTGATGATCGCAAAAGTTAAAGAATAATAAATGATAGTAGTACTAAGCGAGTAACTAATACATCATAGTTCTGTAACAACTACAAGAAACAAAAAATTTTCCATGAGAAATCCGCTCGAAATATTTATGGCGACTTGTAACCACATAGAAAGGCCAATATATTGGGCTACCAACGCCCCTTCATATCTGCTCACTATAATGGTTTTCTTATCCCATTCTATTCTAATTCCTTCCCTCCCTTTCACGTCACCACTCTACTGCAGAAAGAAATTAAGAAGAAGAAGAAGCATGTTTCAATCTGAACTCGCTTGAGCACGAATAAAATAATGCGCCCTAAGGCTAAAGTCGCAACGCAACCGTGGGGATTTTTCGGGCTTAAGCTTGAAAGGGTATATAAGCCGAGCTTCGAGTAGGTTTGGGTGGTTTTTCCTATCCACGTTTTCTTATTGCAATGTGCTCTGTATTCTCTTGTCGCTTCTTCGTTATGAGATGTGTCATCGAGCATTACTTTTACTCGAATTCTGTGTAGCCAAACATGTTCTTCTCATACTACGGAAGGTTCAATGCGACTCCAAGTAATCTATACCCACCTTTGGTTCCTACTTCTACTACTACTATACAGCTAACAAGTGCCATTCAGTGGTATTTCATTAGTGGTTTAGTACAAAGTAATAGTTGGAATGTGAGTATAAAATGGTTATTCGTTCTTCTGTTTTCTCTCATAGGTGCCAATAGGGACAGTATCCACCTCCCAGGTGACCCTTTTCGGGTAGTGGGCAGATTAATCTAGAGGCGGCTGTTCTTATGCTTCTAGTAGTATAATGGTATGCTCCTATGAAAGGGACTATGCTCAGAATTACAATGCATTCGTGGTAAGTAAGTTACTAAGAAGTTTGCGAACCGCTTTTCGAGGAACTCTTCTGTGCCGAAGTACTTCGCTCGACTTCTCTGCAGGTTCGCAATTTTATGCCCGCCTCCGCCATTGTCAGCGCTTCAGAGGACGTACAAAACACAGGCTTTTGTAAGCAACTGTTTTCAGAGGACATGGAAAAAGTCTAAGTGGACCTATGCAATCCCACACTACGAATGTTTTTGGAGTCATAGGTCTCGATCGTGGTCTCGCTCAGGGTCTTACTCATCCCCTCAAACTTGTGTTGAATTCACTTATTCTTTTCCTTTTTTATAAGTGAGCAACGGTGAAAATGTTGTTGGGGTGGGGGCCACCCTATTCATCTAACACTGGGCACTAGAGCGCAGAGAAGGAAGGATAGCCGGCTCTGGCATCTTTTATAGTCCACGATTTGGCGAGCGACCTGTCGCGCGACTGGCCGTCGACTATGAAAGCAGCCTCTGCAACCCTTAGGACTTGGAAGTGATTCATGGCGGAGAGTATATAACTTCTCGGACTAAGCCTTATGAGAAGGCGGCAACAGAGTGGGTGAGATGACTTCTTCGTGCAAAAAGGAGGGATGGGGGAGAATTGAAAATTAGGTGAACCATAGATTCTGAAGAACATTATAACGGGCCCTCAGAGGTGACTACTCCTCCTTATCTGTGCTCTAGCGCTTAGTGCTAGAGAAGAGTGGTGCCCTACTCACCCCACATTTTCTCTAATTCTGAATCTAGGGTGGGATTAGCGATGGGGTGAGTCGAAAACTGACCTCAACCAAATGTTGGAATGGGTAGGATTTGGTCCAAGGGATACTGTCTTACTCAGAGTGCATTGGCAAGGACCCGGCGAAGAGTGGCTCTCCTCCAACTACATTTTCACCTTGTTTCCTACTCCACTCATCTCACTCGTAATCCTTCTTTTTTACCCAATTTACATCACTATCTAGTTGTTTACATAGAAAGTTTTCTAATCTTTGCCTTGAATGTGTATTTACTGCCGCATCTGTAAATGTAAATAACTATAGTTACTTATACTGAAACGATAAACATTTTTACAGAACAGAATCGTACTAGCTTTCGCCTGGCAGTTAGGATGTCATTAGGAAAAATTCCCATTGACAAGGTATTTGTATACTTGTTTACTTTCACGTAGAAAGGAGCTGATGTGCATTTGACTTGCCTAGCTTGGCTCCTATTGGTGCATTTTTTTGATGACCAATTACAGACGAGGTGTCGCCTTGCCACGTGCTTCAATTCCTTGTCAGGCATTGAAGCTAAAGTTGATGGCGTCTCCTCATGCTGTTCTTCAACGAACACATTTTAATTACTAGTAAGAATTTTCCAGGTCGATGTGAAGGACAAGCGTGTGTTGATCCGAGTGGATTTCAATGTGCCACAGAAGGATGGCAAAATCACCAACAATCAGCGTATTGTGTCGGCATTGCCGACTATCATGGTAAATTTGTTGGTAAAATTAAATGGTTCAGAGCAACAGCTACATGCCCGTTTCGAGAAAACCGCTCATTGCCTGTTTTGGAAAAACTTTTGAGGCATAAGTAGTTTGTTTCCGTAGGTTCGGATTGAGACTTAGCAACCTACTAGGAAAAACGCTGTCCTATTTCACAATACGAATGTGCTGGTAAAATTCACTTTACAAATGTACCTGGTAAAATTGCTAATTTACTTGTCGATCACTGCAGTACTGCCTGGACAATAAAGCGAAAGCAGTGATTCTGATGTCTCATCTTGGTCGACCAGATGGCAAGAAAAATCCAAAGTACACCTTAGCTCCTGTTGCTGAAGAACTGAAAAGGGTTCTTGGTGGGAAGTAAGTTTGTCATTATTGTTTTTTATCAAGAAAAGTCTGCTATTCGATTTCATTTATTTATAGAGACGTAAAGTTCCTGAATGACTGTGTTGGTCCCGAGGTGGAAGCTGCTTGTGCCGATCCACCTGCGGGATCTATCATCTTGCTCGAGAACCTGCGCTTCTACATCGAGGAGGAAGGCAAATGCACAAACGAGAAGGGCGAAAAGGTGTTTATGGTCAAACTTTTTTGTAGATCGTTTTTTTAGTGTTTATTTCAAATTCCTTTCCAGTTGAAAGCCTCTCCTGAAGCTGTCGAAAAGTTCCGCGCATCCTTGACGAAGCTTGGCGACATCTACGTAAACGATGCATTTGGTACTGCACATAGGGCCCACAGGTACTTTTAAATCATCACTTTAATTCCTGGTTTATTCGACAAATAAGGTTGTTTGTTTACTGGTTTTCAGCTCTATGGTAGGAGTAAAGCTGAACACACGTGCATGTGGTTTCCTGATGAAAAATGAGCTGCTTTACTTTGGAAAGGTAAAAGCATCGCAGTCCATTGTGGCAGTTCTTTTTATTTATTTATTTATTTAAGAACCATCAAGAATTTTCCAATCATTTTCGATGTTCTATGTTTTTAGGCCCTTTCTGATCCAGCTAGACCATTCCTTGCAATTCTGGGTGGTGCCAAAGTCGCCGACAAGATCCAGCTCATCAAGAACATGTTGGATAAAGTGAGTTTATGGCGACTCGATGGGGGCCCATTCGGGAAGGTGACTTTTTCCAGGTGAACGAGATGATAATTGGTGGTGGCATGGCATTCACATTCCTCAAAGTTGACAAGAATGTTGAAATTGGGAAATCTCTGTTCGATGAAGCGGTAAGACGGTCTTCTGAATTAGATTCTGCAAATATAATATTTCGCTGCTCCTATTTGGGCCATAACTGATTTTCCGTTCCGTTCAGGGTGCAAAGATTGTGAAAGAATTACTGGCCAAGGCCAAGGAAAAGAACGTCCAGATCCATCTACCCGTTGATTTTGTGGTTGGTGACAAGTTTGCGGAAGACGCTACTGCCAAGACTGTCACGGCAGAAGAAGGAGTACCAGCCGGTCCGTATTTTGTCATCGAAACTGATAGGCAACGATTGGGGGTTCTCCCCACTCATGTTTTCTACCCAACTACTGTGATTGCCTTTGAAAGTGAATTGCCTTATTCTTTGTAACTTACTCTGAGCAACTTTTTCCTATCAGGTCACATGGGTATGGATGTAGGACCGAAATCTGAGGAACTATTCGCAACCGTCGTCGCTAGAGCTAAAACTATTGTATGGAATGGACCTCCCGGGGTGTTTGAGTTTGAAAAGTTCTCCCACGGTACAAAGGCTCTTATGGATGCTGTCGTGAAAGCTACTGCAGCTGGTTGCTGTACTATAATCGGTGAGTTGAAGATGTGTCCCTCATTAAAACTGGTATGGTACATCCATCTCTCGAAAAACTCGGAATTTAGGGGGTGGAGATACCGCAACTTGCTGCAAAAAGTTCAAGACTGAGGACAAGGTGACCCATGTCTCAACCGGAGGTGGCGCCAGTCTTGAGCTTCTTGAAGGTGCGTTATGTATACATATAAATGTAATTGCTGCACTTATTTCTCGAGTTTTTAGGAAAGGTCCTTCCCGGAGTCGAAGCACTCTCTCCAGCTCCTTAAACGCTAGGTACCCAGTGTTTAGCCTCGGCTGTTATTCGCGTCGTTGTTTTGCCAAAATACCTCTAGATACCAGTAGCTTAAGATCCGAGACGTGTGTATACTCAATATTGTATTAATTTAATTAATTAAGCAGATAATCAAAGATGTATGGGTCTTCTAGCATCGCGTCGCTCGTGATGCAGATTTTTGCGTATCACTGCCCTTATCTATTTCATAAATATTTTTGGTTGTATTTTCTGTTGCTGTAACCTGAGCTACACACGCAAATCAACA